TGTTCACCTGTCTATCCCACAAACATTTCAAAGGTAGGTGCTATGAAACTGCAGCCTTCCTGGGGTTTCTTTTAGAGGTGCACACTGATGTATGGGATATATTTATTAAACCTTTTGTATTATTAAAACTACCTTTAGTCATTTTAGAAATATGTGAAAATACATAAAATCATTCAGGTGCTTATAATTACACCCTCCAGAGATGGCCACTTCTATTCTCCATCTTTTTTTCCAATTTATATTATATTGTGTGTATTTTCCTAGGTCACTGTGTCTTCTTCAAAAGTGTAACATAATGGTTGTATGTGTGTTTTCAACAAATGAATATGTAGTATTTTAGTCACTTCTTAGAGTTGTGTTCAAATTTAGTATTTCTCATTGTTATATCAGTATAAATAACCTGTGCATAAATCTCCGATGTGCCTCTGTTCGATCACTTAAGGTTACAGCCTCCAAAGCAGCATTACTAAATCAACAAGTATTAAGCCTTGATAGGAATTTTTAATCAGGCCGTATGTGGTGGCGCACGCCTTTAATCCCAGCACTCGGGAAGCAGAGGCAGACAGATCTCTCTGAGTTTGAGGCCAGCCTGGTCTACATACTGAATTTCAGGACATCCAGGGCTGTATTGAGAAAACTTGTCTCAAAAATGAAAACAAAGTAATGACACTAATTTTGATTTAGGGTTTTGCTGGCATTCCTTAGAGTGTTAGGTTTCCCTGGGATAGCTACTAAAAGACATCATAAATGAACCACACTTGAACAGACAACACTGACATAACTATCTCAAGGAAATGAAAGCACACACATTGCTGAAAGCATGAGCCATCCCAGGAAAATTGGTTTAGGTTAGGACTGATTTGGTTTACCAGAATGAAATCTTTTGATACACCCTGTTATCAAGATGCTTAACCCATCTCCTGAAACACAGAAAGCTGGACTACAGAACACGGTAGTTTGAGAAAACCCTTCCCTGTGACTCCATCAATACAGCACACAGTGTGATATCCAGAGAGATGTCAATTTTGGTGCCATCATTCAAATTTTTCTGTGGCAATCTGTGTACAATATCACAAACTGCTCAGTGAGCCTGAGAGGCAAACATTTACACAGAGAACAGGGAGGTGAGTCTTGGCACAGTAGAAGATGAGACGCTGGAGTCTTTAGGAAGACTGAATGAAAAGGAAAGATGTGTTCTGTCTGATGGGTCAGGCACGACAGGATAAAGTGCATGAGTGTTTAACATGCTACCCAGCCATATGGCCCCTGGATTTACAAGCTGTTAGGGTCACAATCAGTCGCTGGGCTCAAGGAGCCCTCTCAGAAGGAAGCCTGGAAACAACCAATGCAGCTGTTAAAAGTCTAAGATCTCTTTTTACAAACAAAGCACCCCCATTTCTTTAACCTCCACACCTTTATGGTGGGGCATGCAGGATTCATTTGCTCCTGGGGGCCAGAGGAAGTAAGATCACAAAGGGTAGAAAGCCTGAGGAAGGCTTCACACATTTGTTCTGTTTTGATATATGCTGCCTGACAATCTCATGCTTTAATCCCATTTCCAATTCACCATAATAAACGTGTATCAGTTCCAGTTCTGTCTCAATTGTGTTGACATGAAGGCCCTAAACAGCTGATAAATACACCGAGATAGCACTGTCTTAGGTCCTGTCAATGATTGTGCTGCTGGTAAATGTATTTTTACAAATCTTTTCATTGAGACAGTCAACAGATGTGAAAACTCGTCACACAGAAGAGCAATTGAATGTCCTATCAGCTCAGCAGTAATCTGGAAAAAGGGTGAGAGCAAAAAGCAATAAATTACAGCAGAATGGCTACAAGCTTATTTCAAGTGTAAAAAACTGATTCAGAGTTAAGTGGCTCTTAGACTACCACACCTCAAAGTCCCAAGTACCTCTTTAAGATGACATGGTCCCCTCATAATCTTACATATAGGAATATTAAACTGTTTTTTCTTACTTACTAAATGCATGATAGGGACATAGATGCATTAAAAAGTATTTACAATGTGGGGTGGTAATGGTACATGCCTTTAATCCCAGGACTCGGGAGGCAGAGCCATGAGGATCTCTCTGTAGTCCAGCGTGATCTACAGAGTGAGTTCCAGGACAGTCAGGGCTACACAGAGAAACCCTGTCTCTAAAAACCAAATATGTAATAGATAGATAGATAGATAGATAGATAGATAGATAGATAGATAGATAGATAGAAATATATTGGAAGAGAGGGCTAGAAGTCTAGCCCCATTTCCAAATTAAAAATTTCAACACTTCATCTATACTAATAACTCCACGTTCTAAACATCTTTCTGAACCCTGCTGTGTTACTGGCTATGAACTGTGCTGGCTTTGACTGGAGGAAGAAGGGATAGAGTAACAGTGAAGGTAATGGAAAAGAGAGGACAACAAAGGAATGTAGTAGGAAGTGGAAGATAATTGGGGAATAATATACAGACAGTCAAGGTCTTCAAGAAAACCATCAAAATGAAATATTACAGTTAAGTGTCGAAGAGTTAACAACCACAAAAATGCTGTAAAGATTGGGGAACTCATGGAATCAGTATGTTTAGTGATCACCTGCTATAAACTTTACGTGGTTCCTAACAAGGTAAGTCAGTATACACCTCTCCAATAGTCATAATAAACATGAGCTCATGAGCTAGACTTTGGTTAGCATTTGCTACTTTCAATGAGCAAAGTACTTCACTTTCCTGTGTGTCAATTTATAATCTGAAAAAAATAAGACCACTACCTGCCTCGAAGGGTGATTTTAAGGATTTCATTTTATAAAGACAAGACATTGCACTTACAACAGTATCTGGTACATAATAAATCATTGAAGTCGCTCTCATGTGTGTGCACACGCACGCACACACACGCACAAACACACACACACACAAATCTATAGTACCTATTAGACTTGATCAGAGATGTGGAGTAGGCACTGGCACTGGCACACACACACACACACACACACACACACACAAAACTAGTATGTAGGTGAGGGGAAAGGCATGGGCTGAAGATGTCCATCTGGAAGTCATCAGTATATGTGTGTATATGTATATGTATATGTATATGTATATGTATATGTATATATATATATATATATATATATATATATATATATATATATAGACAGTACTTAAAATCATGGCAGTACTGCCCTTCTATTGGCTTAGGTTTGAAGTAATCCTTATCTTAAATCATCTATCTGTTAATTCAATTTTTAAACAAACATTTACTATAGTACCTTATGAACCTTTATTCTATTTTTAGGAATTGTATCTGATACTTTCGCTACAGATTAATTCATTTACTCATTTGACAAATATTTACAGGTCCCTTCATCTCTTTTTCCTGCTTCCTGGCTACTACAAAGCAGATAGCTTTCTTCTGTCATGGCTTCCTGCCAGAATGGGCCTCATCACAGCATCAAAAGCATAGTCAGTTCACCTAATTGAGCTGAGACTTCTCCAACCATGAACCAAAATTAACCTCTCCCCCTTTAGGTTTCTCTGGTATTCTGTCACAGTGGCCTATGCTGACTAATGTAGCACTAAACCAAAATGAGACATACAGCCATCAAAGGATCTAGAACAGGGACAAAGAGATGGATCAGTGGTTAAGGGCACTTGTTGCTCTTGCAGATGACACAGGTTCAGATCCCAGCATCCACACGGCAGCTAACAATCATCGGAAACTCCAGTCCCGGGGATCCAACACCCTTTCTTGGCTTCCAAGGAGCACTGGTGGTACACAGACATACAGTGCAGGCAAAAAACACATGCACACAAAATAAAAATAAATCTCTAAAAGACCCAGAGGACAATTAAAGGACATCACAACAGGAAAGAAGCCCATGTGAAAGGCTACTGTATGATTCCAATTATGATACTCTAAAAAAGGCGTTACCATTGAGACAGTAAAAGTCGTGGTGGTTGCCAAGGGCTAGGAGGATTTTTAGGGCAATAAACCATTCTTTATGATTCTCTAATGGCAGATATATGTTGTTAAACACTTGTCAAGATGTATAAGGCCTTATCCACATGGTAACATCCCCTCGTCCTTTGGCTCAGCTTAAATGTCAACTCCACTCTGAAGCTTTGGCAGGGCCTCTAAGTAAAGCTCTTTCTCCTCCATCCTCCTGCAGCTCTTTGATTGTCCCTCTCATAGTACTTAGAGCCAACTATTATTGTTTACTCTCAAGCCAGTTTCTACTCTAACGTGAGCTTAAAAACCAGAGACAGGCTCATTCCTCATATCCCCAGCATTCAGGAAGTAACGGACAAATGACATTTGAATAAACACATGAGCAGATGATTATGAAGACCTTAACTCAGACCACAGGGCTATTTTGTAAACCGTGGTTAGCATTTTATCTGCAGAACCTTCCAAACGATCCACTTGCTTACTTGTTTCACATTCTGGAAAGAACCACTGCCCTGATGTTTAGAAGCAGGTGGCATTCTGTGGACAAATTTGTGTTTTAAGAATCCCATCTCAGTACTGAGACCTCAAGAACAATGGCAATGGGTTTTTAATCCCACTGCACGTATTGGCTTTGTGGGAGCCTAGGCAGTTTGGATGCTCACCTTACTAGACCTGGATGGAGGAGGGTGGTCCTTGGACTTCCCACAGGGCAGAGAACCCTGATTGCTCTTTGGGCTGACGAGGGAGGGGGACTTGATTGGGGGAGGGGGAGGGAAAGGGGAGGTGGCGGTGGGGAAGAGACAGAAATCTTTAATAAATATAAAAAAAAGAAAAATAAGAAAACTTAAAAAAAAAAGTATCCCATCTCAGGCCGGAAGGTGGTGCCGCCGCCTTTAATCCCAGCACTTGGGAGGCAGAGGCAGCTCCCATAAATGTGTTGTAAGAGTCCAGTCTCAATTTCAATCACTATCTCTGTTTCAGTTTCTAGAAAAGGCAACTTAGAGTTAGGAAAGAAGAGAGTAAATGAAGACAAAGTCAGAATGATTCAGCCAATAAATAGTTTAATGAGAACCAAGGTCTATAACATACATAGCAGGACCTGTGCTGGTAGCCTTCTGCTGTAACCTGTCTGGGGATAACCAACTGCATTTAACCCACGTTTGAAAAGAAGGCCCTTTTGAATGTCACCCATCAGTATCCATCTTCACAGAAGACACCAATCTGGGGTCACACTCTCAATGTGAATACTTCCTCTTAGGGAAGAGGTAACACAGATGCATAAACAACCTTAAGTCATCCTACTACTCTTCAATAAGAGAACCCTCGGGGGACCACTGGTTCTGTAAACACATACGTCTTTGTCAAAATACATTAGGAACACAAAGGAGAACAGTAGAAAGGGCGGTAGTGTTGGGTCCATAGATTTTCAGTTCTTAGATCTGAAGCCTCTTGAGCTGCTCGTATGTAATAAAAAACTGAAAAGTGAGTTATGGAAAATTTCTGAGTTGATACTGAAAGTTAAACCCATTTTGAAAATTGTACATTTCATTTTCTTAAATTAATGTACTTAGACTAAAGGGGGTTTCCTTCAAAGACTTTTTTTTAAAACTGGGTTTTTTTAAAAAAAATTATTTATTTATTTATTTATTTATTTATTTATTATATATACAATATTCTGTCTACATGTATGCCTGCAGGCCAGAAGAGGGCACCAGACCTCATTACAAATGGTTGTGAGCCATCATGTGGTTGCTGGGAATTGAACTCAGGACCTTTGGAAGAGCAGGCAATGCTCTTAACCGCTGAGCCATCTTTCCAGCCCTTCAAAGACTTTTCTTAAGATGAAATGTGTTGGGCCATGCAGTGGTAGCACACACCCTTAATCTTAGCACTTGGAAGGCAGAGGCAGGCGGAACTCTGTGAGTTCAAGACCAGCCTGGTCTACAGAGTGAGTTCCAGGACAGATAGGACTGTTACACAGAGAAGCCCTGTCCTGAAAAATCAGGAAAAAAAGATAAGATGTGTTGATTGCCTACTATTTTCCATTATGATCAATGGCACTGAGCAATGAAAATGGATTATAATATAGTTATAGTTTTCAAAAGCAAACAGAACAAACACAACACAATATAACACACAATTCCAAAGAGAGAAAGAGATGTACTCTCTGTTCAGTCTACAGATTCCAGAAGGGTGGGGAATTACTTTTCAACCCTGCCAAGCTCACAAGTACACACAGTATCCAGCGCATGGCTCTACCCATACAAGGCACTACAGCATGGCTGAAGGAGAGAAAGGCACCCACGATAATAGAGTCCTACTTGGCTGTGGTTTTGGTCACTCTACAATGCTTTGTGTCCTGCTGGCATTTTCAAGCTATCTGGGTCTCACAGTTAAGAACTTTAGACCACAAAAGCATGGAGTTTCCGGTGAGCATCGTCTATCAGTGTCACTAAATTTTGTTCTATTAGATTTATTTGCTTACTTATTTATGTATTTGCTGGGGAGGGCATGTGCCTGCCAGAGTGTGTGCATGAAGTTCACAGGACAACTGGCTGTGCTTGACATTTTGTTGCATTACATTTATTTGGTTATTTGTTTGTTTGTTTGCTGGGGAGGGTATGTACCTGCCACAGTGTGTGTGTATGTGTATGTGTGTGTATGTGTGTTTAGAGTTCAGAGGACAACTTACAGGAGCAAATTCTCTCTTTTCACCATAAGTCCCAGAGATTAAACTCGGCACCAGGTATGGAGGTGAGCACCTTTACATACTGAGCCATCTTAGACATTTTGATTTAAAGAGGAACATCTGGCACATCTTTTCTGTCCCGTTAAGTATGTATTTGCCTCCAAGGGAAAGTTGTTTCTCTACTTGGTTCCATTCACACTGGTCTCCAATGGGATGCTTGAGTTTCTTACTTGTCTATAAAGGATTTAATAATCAAAATTATCTTCCCATAACCTAGAAATACCTGGGACTTTGAAGGACTGGCTTGCATTCTCAATTTCTAAAAGGATACAATGATGTTCCAGGGTCCAAGTCGAAGCCAGTTTGGCCAAAATCCTTTATAAAGGGCAAAAAACCCCTCATGTTTCCACATCTGAGGTAAAGACATAACCAAAAATAGTGAATTTCCTTTTTTTATTACATTTGACAACCATTTTCCATGCCCACTCCCAGAAACTTTGGCTACTATGAATGGTCTCTTTTCTGAAGATATACTTCAAAGTCTAAATAATTTGAATCTAAATGCATCAAACCATTATTCAATATTTATTTCCTGAGCACCCAACATATACAACACATACTTCTTAACTCTGGGAATATAACCGTAAGTAAGAGCTGGGCATGGCAGTACATGCCTATAATCTTAGCACTCTGGAAGTAGAGAAAGTAAATCAGGAGTTCAATGCTATCCTTAGCTATACAGTGAATTTGAGACTAGCCTCGGTCTCTACATGAGACCCTGTCTCAAAACACCCTAATTAAATGTAGTGGGTCACAAACAAATAAAAACGATGAGAAATAGGAGTTGTTGGGTATTAGAAGGGAATTTTGAGGGAGCGGGACAGAAATAAGAGAGGATAATGCACGATAATCGATTCAAGTACATTATATGAACATGTGAAATGAAATTGTGAGAAATAGTAACTTCCCAGGCAGTATGTCTGCAGTAACTAGAAATAGCTACATAAAGTGACGGCACACCTAAAGGACCCTATCCTTGTCATCCATGTCCTTGTGCAGCTCTCACATCATATCAGGACTGTTGAACAGAGCAGAAATTAACACTGCTAGATTATAAAAAAAAACATTTGATATATAATGAGGTGTCTATTGTCTCCTCTCTTGAATTATTCACTCTGACGGAGACCAGCTGTCATACCATGAAACGAGGCCTACATCATAGGGAGCTGAAGCATTTAACTAACATCAATGAGTCACCTTTGAAGGAGATATGCTAGCCCCACTCAAGCCTTGATGATGGCTGAAGTCTTGGTTGACGTAGGGCCTCTTAAGAGGTCTCACTCTCGAATCATTCAACAAGGCTGCTTCTTAATTCCTGATCCCCCAAAACTGGAAAAGAATACTGTACTTTTAAGACACCGAGTTTTAGAGTAATTTGCTATACAGCTATACATAGCTTATACAATCTGTGCCTCTACTGAATGTATACTCTATTGTGGTAAGCAAATACACACATCGTTTCGATAGATAGATAGATGATGGATAGATGGACAGATATTGGTAGATATTATTATATTGATACATATTGTATCCAAAAATGATAAAAGGGATGAAGAAAACCAAGGAAAGGAATAAGGACTTGAGAAAGTCACTTTCTTTCTCTGACTCCGTTTTCTACTTTTTTTTTTTTTAAAAAAAAAAATATATATATATAAAGACCTTTTATGATTTGACAGGGAATTTTTCTTTTTTTTAAATTTATTTATTTATTTATTGAAGATTTCTGGTGACTCCACGGGATATTTCAGGTGAGTGTTTGGAGGACTATGTGTGAGGAACAACATGAACTGCTGTGTATTGTGGTGCCCTGACTTACATAGCAGGGGGTCTCTATATGCACCAAATGGTCTCAAGAACTAGATGACTGACTTAAGACCAAAAGCTGATGCCATATGCTGAATTCTGCCAAAAAGTAGTTTATATGATAGACAAATATCTATGAAGTAATGGCAATATGTCGGGTGTTTTGTCCGATACTGAAAAATGTTGTTCTGCCTTTCAGTGGTGAAATGAATTTTAGCACTGTTTTGAGAAATGAACACATTTTAATAAGATAATGATATGAGAAGCCAGATTTAAAAGTATCTCTTTCCTCATCCTGCAAATTAAGAACCTAAAAATAAGTGTCTTTATTAATCACTTGGGGATGGGAAAGACAAATAATAACACAGTAATAATACTATTGATAGACAGTCATAAATAATATGCTTCTGCCAATGGACCTCCAGCAAATACTGAAACACTCAATCCAAAATTCATGTTTTAATTTTGAAAATTATCCAAAATAAAGTTGAGATGCAGATAACCTAAAAACATGTAATTAAATGACAAGAGACCCCAGAGATTATCCAATTATCATTATCTCAATTACCACACTAAAATCCTAATTGGTTTAAGATCTCCACCTACCAACTAAAATCAACTTTTAAGAATTATAACTCAGACTATATGACAATCCTACTTCAAAGTTCTCAGGTGGCTTTCATTCTAATTCTAAATGCTTTGTAGCGACCTCTAGGATCCTACATGATTTAGACTATGTCCCTATCTGCAAATTCACTTCCTATGACTTTCTCTTTGCTTACTGTACTCAGCCACACAATCCTTATTTTTAACTCTAATAAAGTCAAACTCATTTCAACTCAGGCCTTTTATAATCTGTTCTTTATTTATGAAATGGTTTTCTCAAGATTTGCATGTGGTCACCTCCTTCCCATCATCCAAATTATCAAAAAAAAAAAACAACCCAGATTTTATAGGGGACATGGTTTTTGATGCTTAGTTTGATGTGTATGAGGAAGAGCTCATAGTATTTGGAGATATTAGGCTTAAATTGGTAGAATTCTGTGGTTATAGGGAAGCGTTCTTGGGATCATTAGCATACGATAGGTATATAACCAGAGAAGGTTCACAACATCTGGTCACCAATTCCAGACCCGGGAAGTCATCTTCCACACACCCTCTTCCCCACACCTCTCCATATCATCTCAACAAAACTCTATTATCCCAATTATGCTCAATGATTAAATTCTTCTAACTAAATTATTCCTAATTCTGTCCCATCTTCTACATTCCCAGTCACACTGAGGCTCAGGCCTTCATCATTTCTCACTCAGATCAATACATAAAACTTTTAATCAACATCCTTATCTCCAACTCAATGGCTCTTTAAGTCAACCAGGTTAGAACCTTGCTGGAAATATAAATTCTCAGGTCCCATTTCTGACATGCTGAATTAATTCAGGCAATTCTAAAACATGTTAAACAGAGAAGACCTAGTCACTGTCCCACCCTCATCCCCTTAAATTAGTGGTCTTCAAACTTGGATGAACACACAACCACCTGTGAAATTCTAAAACTCTTAATAACCCAGGTTCTGAGTTGACTGATCTAAGAAAAACATGGAGCTGTGAAATTAATGAGTGATTCCAATGTGTACCCAAGATTGAGACCCACTATCTTAGATACTATTTCCACAAAGACAGAGTGACGTACTTAAAATACAAATGGGACCTGTTTAAAGCTCTCAGTATTTCTAAGCATCTCAATATAATCCAATCAACCTATAGCTACTGGTATCAGGAAAGTATCAAGCATATTAGTTAAGAATGCTTCCTTAAGTCAAAAAGTCTGAGTTTATTGCAGCACGCCTACTTGCTAACTGTAAAATTCTAAGGAAGGTGATCCTTCAGTGCCACAATATCTATCTCATGGGATAATGAGGAGAATGAAGTGACTGAATGCATGTAAATCTCATTAGAACAGCTCCTGTCATACAATAAGGCATTCAGCAAATAAGAGTTATTTAAAATTCTCAAGTATGGGCCATAATTTCCTACCATAGAGTTCTAGGTTTTATCAGTTATTATGCTATATTTATTATCTATTTGTAACTGTCAGTACTTTAGTAATACCTATAATTCCCTTTAGCTATTAAAATAGTACCTCATAAATAACAAATATATGTTCATTGAAACTGATAACAGCAGAAAAATCATATGGCCCCTTCACATTTTATCCCTGAATTTTTTTTCTGGTTTTTTTTTTTTTTGGTTTTTCGAGACAGGGTTTCTCTGTGGCTTTGGAGCCTGTCCTGGCACTAGCTCTGTAGACCAGGCTGGTCTCGAACTCACAGAGATCCGCCTGCCTCTGCCTCCCGAGTGCTGGGATTAAAGGCGTGCGCCACCATCGCCCGGCATCCTGAATTTGTTTTTTATAGTAATAATGTAACCAATACTTCTGTATACATTTATGATATCCAACCCCAACAGAAATACTCAAGGCAGAATGTGATCAACAGAACAACCTGGAACTTAACCCAAGTATTGGGTTTTGAAGCTTCTTAAGTACCAGGACTTCTACTACAGAGTCTCTCCTTATTTGAGGTTGGAAAGCATGGGATATAGTAATCCTATTAAAATCTTTATTTTGTGTATAGGTGTTTTGTCTGCATGCATCTCATGCAACAAGTGCATGCAGTGCCTATGAAGGCCAGAAGAGGGTGTTAGATCCCCTGGCATTATAGACAGTTGTGAGGTATCATGTAGGTGCTGGGACTTGAACACAAGGCTTTTGGAAGAGTAACCAGTATTCTTAAGTGCTGAGCTATCTCTCCAGCTTCCTAATTAAAAAAAATAGAATTTCATACACCAGTACTCATTTACATCATTTCCATCCCTCTTTCTCCCCTTTTAACTTCCCCTTCCATGACCTGGGATACATTCAATATTGATAGTAATAATTCTACACAATGCTATTATATGTATTATTATATGTATACATATATGTATTATATGTATCCTGTATTTTTAAGCATTCAAATTGGAATAATATTAAGAAGCCCTATGCATTAGCAAATTTTCTGGGAGTGATTATTTGCCTTTGGATGATTCTCAGAGGCTACTAAAAAATACACCCAATGGTTGCTTAATGTTCAGAATATGTAGCAAGAAGAATAAAGAGGGAAAAAGTTCTCAAACATCAAAGAAAACAGAAACTGTAGCCCAAACCCACAGTGCACATACCTTTAAAATACCATCCAAAGTACCCTTGTAGAGGTCCACATGTCCCACTATTGCCCTCTGATTCATCATTCGTGTTCTCACCACGTCAACCGGGTTAGATGCCAGAGCCCCAGCCAAACCACAGGTAAAGCTAGAACTAAAAGTGAGAACTAATTTAAAAAGATTATCCCTACTTCAATCACTTGTCCACTTAAACAGAATTTAGGCCAAATGCAAAAGCTCTAATAACTTAGATCCATTAGCTAAAACCTGATAGTCCTTCATTATACAGAGAAAGAAAATCCTTTATAATGAAAGGCTGTCCCTTCACATGGATTGCCCTTGGAAGGGGAAATAGATGGGATCTCCTGAGTAAACTATGGGCAGGGAAGGGGGTGCTAAAGGGAAGGGGATGGGGGATGAGAACATGAGGGGATGGGATTGTCAAGCTGGGGGAGGGGTGGGGTGGAAGAGCAAGGAAAGAGGTATCTCAATAGAGGGCTCCATTATGGGGGAAACTGGATGCTATGGAAATTCCCAGGAGTCCACAAGGATGATTCCAGAGAAGACTCCTAGCAATAGTGGAGAGAGTGCCTAAACTGGCCTTCCCCTGTAATCAGATTGATGACTACCTTCATCCAGTAACTGATGGAAGCGGAGCAGAGTTCCACATCCAAGCACCAGACCAAGCACCAGTCCAGTCAAAGAGAGGGAGGAGGGATTATATGAGCAAGGGGGTCAAGGTCATGATGAAAAAACATAGAGAGACAGCTGACTTAAACTTGCAGGAGCTCTAGACTGACAGTTGGGGATCCTGCATGGTACTGAACCAGGCTCTCTGTAGGTGGGCGACAGTTTTGCAGCCTGGTCTGTTTGTGGGACCCCGACAGTATGACCAGGACCTACCCCTAGTGTATGAGCTGGCTTTTTGGAGCCCATTCCAAACGGTAGGATGCCTTGCTCAGCCTTGATGCGGCCAGGGGGAGGGGTAGGACAGGAGACACTTGGTCCTGCCTCAATTGAATGTGCCAGGCTTTGATGACTCCCCATGGGAGGCCTTACCCTCCTGAGGAGTGGATGGGGGTGGGCTTGGGAGAGAGGGAGGAGGGGGGAAGGGGAACTGTGGCTGGTATGTAAACTAAATAAAATGAAATAAAAAGAAAGGTTGTCCCTTTCCTTTTCATTCTAAAACTCCGCCTCTTTTATAGAAGAGATAATCCACAGACCTAACAACATCCCTAAGCAGGAATTGTCCTGTACTATTGATAAGTTCTAACAAATTTTCTGACAACAGCATCATGTGCCAAACTCATTTAAATAGCAGAATATCATAGTGCTTATATGACAAAGAAAATGCAAGATGAGAGCAGAAATAAACTTCAACCAAAAATAGGAAGTACAGGGTGATGGAACTGGGGTTGCAGCTCAGTTCACAGTGCTTGCCTAGAAAGCATGAAGCCCTGGCTTCCATCCCTAACACCGCAGAAACAGGTTGTGCAAGTGCACATTGCACATCTGTAATCCTAGCACCCTGGAAGTAAAAACAGGATGGTCAGAAATTCAAAGTCATCCTTGTCTACACGATGAATCTGAGGCCAGTCTGAGATATATGAGACCTTTCCTCTAAAGTCGTAAATAAAGTACAAGCTGTCCAAGTATATCATACAAGACAGGTGGTGCGGGCGGCACACACCTTTAATCCACGCACTTGAGAGGCAGAGGTAGGAGGAACTCTGTGACTTCAAGGCATGGTCTACAAATCAAGTTCCAGGACAGCCAAGACTGCACAGAGGAACCCTATCTCGAAAAAACAAACAAACACACACACACACAAAAACAAAACCAAACAAAAAAGAGTATCATATAAACATGTAATAGGTCTGTATACTATAGGCAGCTCCCAAGTGGCCAGGTATCCACAGTAGCTGAAGGCAAGTGTGGGTAATGGGTTGGGGAAATATAATCAGAGTACTTCACATGCATGTTATGAATATGTGCATGTTATGTTATTACATAATACAAATGTAAGAAAATGTCATTCTGCAACCAGGTTGTGGTGGTACATGCCTTTAATCCCAGCACTCGGGCGGCAGAGGCAGGCAGATCTCTGTGAGTTCAAGTTCAGCCTGGTCTACAGACCTAGTTCTAGGACAGGCTCCAAAACCACAGAGAAACTCTATCTCGAAAAGAAAGAAAGGAAGAAAGAAAGAAAGAAAGAAAGAAAGAAAGAAAGAAAGAAAGAAGAAAGAAAGAAAATGTCATACTGAAACACATAATCTTCTAAAATGAATATATACTAATTAAATAATGAGAAATGTAAATAATAGGAAATGTCACAATAAAACCCACTATTTTATATAATTAATATATAGCAATAAATTTAAAAGTATCAAATATTCAGAAGGCTTGAAGTATTGGCGACAGGAGACAAGTATTAAGGCCATGAGTATCAGTTATAAATCTACCTGAGGACATCAGTAAAAGAGGCTTTTTATGTTCAAGCTGCTGAATCCAGAGAATGAATTAAACACTGCTCACTTACACAAAGTGTGTTAAAATGGTGTCTCCCAGCATTCCTGACAGTATCAGGTGCTTCTTGGTAATATCATAAACTGGCAACTCTACTCCCACCACGATGGCAGCACGCTGAGCAGTTGGGACCACGCCCTACAAAACCAAGGTGGTATCAGATACGTGAGAAATACTGAGAGTGACATATATCTTAAAGTGAACAAAAATGAGTCGATGATGGAAACTGCGAGAAAAATAAACTCTAAAATGTATAGTTCATTCTTTCAAATAAGTGACTAACACTGGCATGTTTCTAATTCCCAGTCCACATGTTGTACTACAAATAAAAGCATTCATAACTTCTAATGCACAAGAGACAAAAAAATTGATAAAATATGTTAAGTTAAACTTCACCATAATTAAAAACTTGCAATTTAAAAGATACCATGAAGTGAGTGAGAGAATAACTCACACAATGGAGAAATACTTGAAAATCATAAAGAATTCAGTCATTAGAAAAATGTACATCAAAACCACAATGATATTCAGGCAGTGATGGTGTGCGCCTTTAATCCCACACGTGGGAGGCAGAGGCGGGTAGATCTCTAAATTTGAGGCCAGCCTGGTCTACAGTGAGTTCTGGGATAGCCAGGGCTACAAAGAGAAACCCTGTAGGAAAAAAACCACTCACAGTGACACGCCATTTCACACCTCCTCGGATGACTGTAGTCTTTTTTTCGTAAAATAGGAAGTCTTGGTAATGTTTTAAAAATAAATAATCACGAATCCTTAGGAAAGAATAAATTTGATAGAGCAGGTAAATAAGAATTAGGAGAGAAGAATCAAACACTATTAACTTTTTAAATGAGGTAATGACTAAGATAAAGAAGGGACAGAAGAGTATATATGTTTGCAATAACAATTTTTTTGAGACAAGGTTTCTCTGTAGCTTTGGAGCCTGTCCTGGAACTCACTCTGTAGACCAGGTTGGATGTGGTAATGCGCACCTTTAATACCAGCACTTGGGTGGCAGAAGCAGGTAGATGATGTGGAATATCCTTCTATATGTGTGTTGCTTTTATTGGTTAATAAATAAAGCTGCTTTGTCCTATGGCAGGGCAAAATCTAGCCAGGCTGGAAGGGATATATAGAGAGAGCAGGTGGAATCAGGGAGATACCATGTAGCTGCCGAAGGAGGCAGATGCCATATAGCTTCCCAAGAAGCAAGAGGTAACAAACCACGAGCCTTGTGGTAAAATATAAAATAATAGAAATTAGTTAATTTAAGATGTAAAAGTTACTTAGTAAGAAGCCTGAGCTAATAGACCAAACAGTATTGTAATTGATATAGTTTAGGTGTGATTGTTTGAGTCTGGGTGGCCAGGAATGAATAAGCACTCTCTACCTACAGGTAGATCTCTGTGATTTCGAGTCTACATAACAAGTTCCAGGCCAGCCAGAACTATGTGATGAAATTTTGTCTCTGAAATAAAAAAAAAAAATAAGAGACAAACAAAAGTCAGTTAGGAAGGGAACGTTTCCAGTGTGACTCCCAGAATTTGAGGATGAGAAGAAAGGGTGACACTAAGGTGAAAGCAGAAGTGTAAGAAGCTGGGGAAAGGGCAAAAGAAAGCGGTTCTTCCTTTCCAGGCCCTTCTGCAGTGAGAAAGACGTGAACCAACAGACCACAGGCTGCTGGGAATGCATGACAAGTCAGATTTTTGTTGGTATCCCAGTGATGGGAGCAAAGACGAACAGATCCCTGGGACTTTCTGGATACCCACTCTAGCCGACTTAGCGAGTTCCAGGCCAATGAGAGACACTGTCAAAAAAAATGGTAGATGACACTTGAAGTTGCCCTGATGCATTTTTAAAATGCATGATATGAAATTATATCAAGCACTCCTATTCTACTTGAGACAGGGATAGTGGTGCCACATGCAGTAAATCCCAGCACTCAGGAGACAGAGATAGGTGGATCTCTGTGAGTTTGAGGTCAGCGTGGTCTACAAGAACTAAATTTAGACTAAAGGAACATTTACTGTTCAGAAAAGATTAGAATGAAATATATTAAAATATTCTCTTTGTAGGATTAGAGATAAAGTAATTTCATTTGTGCTTTCCTTTTTCCATTTTTTACTATATTTTAATTTTGTGTGTGCCTGTGTTTGTTATATGTGTAAGTACACATATGCATGCTACCCCTGTGGATGCCACAAAATAACTTGCAGGAATCAGGTCGCTCCTTCCACCACGTGGGTCCTAGAAATTGAACTTGGATAATCAGGCTTGGAGAGAGGTATCACTGCCCAATGAAACATCTTACTGGTCCCTCATTTTTATGCCTATCATTAAAAAAAATACAGTGAATGTTTTGCCTTTATAAGTTTGATTGAACATTACTCCTTTTGTATATGGCCAGGGGTGTATGAACAATCCTCTGGTGCTGTCCACCTTGACTTTTGAGACTGGGTCTTTCACCAAGACCTGGGCCTCACGTATTAGGCTATACTGGCTGGCTACTCCTCTCTGTCTTTCCGGACAGAGATACTGGGATTGAAGCACACACAACGGTGCCTGGCTTCAGATATTTTTTTATGGGGATTATGGTAATCAAATTCAGGTCCTCATGTTTGTACATCAAACATTTTACCAACAGAAACATCCCACAACCCACATTAGTCCTTAATTAGGTATAAGGGATTTGTCTAGAATACTTGCAAAATAGATAATCAAAGAAAATTGATAAACTTTAAGAAATGAAAATAACATCTCATGTAGATGATTGTCTGAAGCAACTTTTATATTAAAGTACTTCATCATCTCTGAATTCTCAAACCCCATTTTCAGGTCATGAGACTATGCCAAGGTTGATCTTGCTGACCTAGCCTACCATTAGCTTGTTCTACGTCTCTCCCATCTGCTTCACTCTGCTAAAAAGAATGACCATTCCCATGGAGACCAGTAAGATCCTATAATTTAGGACTATTGGCTGACATAAGTCCACAGATATTATTTATGTAGCTTATAGAACATTTCTAAAAGATTTAGTTAGTTGTCAATTAAGGGATTTCACATAGATATGCAAGTTTCTAGTTTCTCCTGAACAGTCAAATCACAGGGCTGGATGGCTCAGAGGTTAAGAGCCCTTGCTGCTTTTGCAGAGGAACCAAATTCACTTTCTAACACCAACAACTTTCCCTAACTCCTGTTCCAAGGTATTCGGTGCCCTCTTCTGGCCGCTGCTGGCACTACATGCATGTGGTACACTTATATAACATTCTGACAAAAGACACATAAAATAAATATAAATAAATCGAAAAAAAGAGAAGTCAAAATTCAGCCACATGCAGATTCCCACTAATGCACGACAGAAACAGACTACAACTAAGGAGTATCTATCCTCTTTGAACCAGTAAGGTGCACTCCAGCTCACTAGAAAAGCCTTACCACACAACTGTCTCTCCAAATCTTATATAAGTTCCATTTTGCTGCCAATTCTCCATATGGAGGAGTTAGGCACACCATGAAATATTTTCAGGACCAAATGTTACAACCAGGCAGGAATATTAAACAGACTGAAGGGATCACATATTGGGGGCTGTATTTCTTTGTTGAAATTTTTAAAAAAAATATTTGAAACAAAATTGGAGTTTATTTTAAGAAAGGTTTCAATATAGATTTGTGTGCAGGAATAGCAGGGACTGGAACGTATAGATTCATGCATGCTAGGAAAAGTATCCACCACTGGGATATACTATTCTCAGAACTATATTTTTACAGGAATCCCCAGAACTATACTTTTACATGTAAATAAAATATGCATATTGTTGTGAAATAATCTTTTTGTACACTGTGAAGATGTGTCACTCAGACTGGTTTAATAAAAAGTGAACAACTAATAGTTAGGCAGGATTTAGGGAGTAAAGATAATGCTAGGAAAAATAATGAAGAGATGCCATAAGACGCAGAGAGAACAAGATGGGCATTACAGAGGTGAGGCAATAAAGCCACGAGGCAGAAAGTAAATAATAATGGGCTAATTTAAGTTATAAGAGCCAGTTAGAAACAAGCCTAAGCTATGAACCATGCCTTCATAATTAGCAGTAAGACTCCATGTCATTATTTGGGGGCTGGTTGGTGGGACAGAGAAAGACTCGCTACATATGGCACCCACCATCTAAGACCTAAAAAAGCTTTAAAAATATTATAAACACACAAAAGCAGAGCCAAACACAGCTTCCTAGTCCTGTAGTCGCTTATGTGGGATGAGGCACAGAGTTGTATCTCTTAATCACTGCCTGAGGGCTTGAGCCACAAGCTATGTGGTGATTTAATATTTTGCTCATGCAAACAGAAAAGGTTAAAGAAATGCAGTAAAGCAGGTTCAGACTAAAAAAAAAACAACTCTAAACAGGTTACAGTATGTTTAACAATATGTGTAGACTTAACAAAAAAAAGTATAGTCAAAAAATGAATGAATAAATATTTTTTGCATTTCATGCATTTATTTTATTTTAAAACAAAAGCCTTTATGTAGGGTTCTTTGCATTGGATAAATTCCTAAAGAAAGTATTGATTGAAAAATCCCATTTCTAAAGCCCTTAGTAGTTCGGGACACTCGACTTTCCAAGACTATGGCAATTATTATTATTTATATCAGGGTATGTGCTTCGCCAAGTCTTATCCCGCACTATTGGTTTTCAGGCACATTTTTACCATTTGATCACTCAGAAATGACATCTGCTGGTTTGCACTAGTTTCTCGTCTGCTGGGATTTTAGAATTTGAACATTTTCTGGGATGCTTAAGTTTGTCAGTCAGCAGCTGGTGTATGTTGGCTCTTTCTCACTTGCTCAAAATAAATTTGTTTTCCTCATAACCCTGATTTGTTTGTTTCAGGCCTTTCTGATGCCATAAAGCTTTTTAAAATCACCTTTCACAATAAATATTTTAAAAATAATAGAAGAAATGCTTGAAAGGAAGAGTTAAGTAATTAAAAAAATAAGCCATGTTGAGATGGGAAATAAAAAAGGAGTCTGGATCCTATATGTTATTGTGCTGTCTTTGAAATTTTTGATTGCTGATAAGCCAATGACAGCTGCTGGGAGACACTGGACTGTGAAAGAGACTGTGGAAATAAGCCAGCCTAGAAAT